TATTTTATTTTTCTCTTTTCTTCTTTTATTTTTAATTCATGTTCTCATTTTTAATTTTGATACCAAAATTGATGATATCCAAGGCCCCACTTCTGTGCCAGTTGTGGAGCGTAAAAGAACCACGCCTAAGCCTATCTCCATCTTGCTGTTCAGCAGGCGGCTGTCCCGGAAACAAGCTAAAGACGGCGGTATTATGATAGACGCCGCCGCGGTAGAAGAGGTAGTCCTTCTTGTCAATTTCGAGAGCTAGTCTCAACGGTCGTCATATCTAATCTTAGGGATACTCGGGGTACCCCTAATTTTTGTTGCCTGGTCAAACCAGAGTACCGTCATTGCACGGACTTGTCTTTGAGCCTAAGTCCCTAAACCGTAGACTTCAGGCGGCGCACTGTTTGTGGTCGCCTGACAGTTAGCCCGGACCACTTCTCGACACCCCCGTCGAGCCCTAGCAACTTACGTCAGACGAAGCAGACGAGCTTCAGGGTGATGGCCCGTAAAGGACACCCACGTCGGCGCTCAATTATCTTATGTTTCAGTTTGTCATGAGTCCTGAGGCTAAGAAGATGTTTCTTGACTCTCCTGTTTCTTGACTCTCCTGTTTCTTTTGGTTTTTGGTCCGGGCTCGATCCTCTTTTTCCTCTGTCTTTGCCCCGAGAAGGGTGTCGACCCGCCAGTACGTCTAACGCGAACTCTCCGTCTAGCTCGTTTGAGCACGAATAACCATCTCTTCTCTCTTCCTAAACCCTTTGACCTTTCTCTTCTCTATTCTTTTCCTTTTCTTGGAACTCTCCCCTGCCTCGAATTGCCTCAAGGGGGCTCCTTCCTCCATTACGGCTTTTCCTTTCCCTTTCGGGATGGTCAGCGATAAGGCGGGCGCGGGTCTGGGCCTAAACAGCTTTAACCTAGCGCCCGCCACTGGGTCCTTCCACTTAGATCCATCCAATTCTGCTATCATATATGCACCCCAGTCGAGTGCCTCAACCACTCTGTAAGGTCCCATCCATCTATTTGCGAGTTTTCCGGTCCAGGTCCTCTCCGGTGCCGCGTCGTAGAGAAGGACCAAATCTCCTACGCTCACCCTCTCTTTCCTGATTCGCACGTTCTTATCCCATCTCTCTTTACCCTTGTCCCTTTCCACTGCCAGACGATCTGCCGCTGTCATGAGGTTATCTTCCAAACCGTAGGCTATCTATCTTGTTCGGGCAGCTAAGAGTTCCTCTTTGGACATCTCCTCCGCCTAGTCGACGGTTGTCCAGCTGTCGACGTGAAACTTTATGGGAAGCGGACAATGTCGCCCAAACCAGAAGGTGTACGGTGGGTATCCGGTACTAGCCCGGACCGTGACGTTGTCCGCCCATATTGCGTATCGAAAATATCGTGGCCAATCACTGTCCTTACCCTTGCACCACTTGGAYAGTGACGCTATCAGAGTCTGGTGTCCCCTCTCTACTGGGGAGTTCGACTGTGSRTGATAGGCRGTGRCTATCGAAACTCTCGCMCCRRCTCTCCTAAACACRCTCTGRACCTCSTCGGCTAGGAATTCCGCYCCTCTGTCCATYACTATCTTGCTRACACAACCATACCTAGATAAGTACTCTAGGACAAAGTTCTTTACTTCCTTTGCCGCCTTACTCCTGATAGGTCTACCGTCCACGAACCCAGTGAAATCGTCTCGTATGTTCACGACGTACTTCATATTGCCTACCCTTTTCGGCATTTTCACTAGATCAATATGTACCTTCTCTCCTGGTCTGGTCGGATAGGATGGATGAAGTGGCTCTTTGTATTTCACAAGAGCTCTCTTCTGACACTCTTTGCAGGTCCTACAGTGCCTCTCGACGTCCTTATACTGCCCTTCCCACCAGTACAGCCTGCGTACCTTTTCGTAGGTTCCTTTGACTCCTCTGTGTCCTCCGACTACCCCGTCGTGAAGCTCCGCAACTATTGTCTGTCTCTACTCAGGGTCACAGACTACTCGTAAGGGCATCCCCGAGCCATTCGGCCTTCGAAACAGATGGCCAGCTCTAAGGCAGTACTGGGCCGCTTGTCTCCGGATATCTGATTCTTGACTCTCCTTTCCTGACAAATGTAGTCCAATCATTCGGTATTTGCCCTCGTAAAGGTTAACCAGAAAACGCTCGGTGGGTCCTGGCTCCGCCATAGTCAGGGCCCAAACTACTATCGGGCGCTCGGCCTCAAGAGGGATGCGTGAAAGTCCATCTGCCACGGCGTTTTTAGTGTCAAATATCCTCTCAACCGTATAATCGTATAGCCGAATCCGTATTAACCATCGGGCGATGGTCGGGTCCGTCGGACTAAAGTCCTTCTGGAGGACAGAGGCAACCGCGGTGGGGTCTACTCTCAAGATGAACCGTCGCTCATAGATATAGTGTCTGAACGTGTCTAGACACCGGAGAACAGCTAACACTTCCTTCTTGAATTGACTGTAGTTACGCTCAGCCGTATTAAGTGTCWTACTCTCAAATCTTAACTGTCTTTCCTTCCCTCCAGCGTCCTTCTGAGACAGCAAACGACCTACTGAACATGGTCCAACATCCGTGGATACTATGAAGGGTTTCTCAGTCTCATCGTCAAAGAACGGCACGCCCAACACGCGTCCTCCCTCCTTAAATCCGTCTTTAAGTTCTTGCATAGCGAGTTCCTGCGAAAAATCCCAGTAGAATTTTTCAGTCTTTCGAAGGAGTAACCTCAATGACTCAGCCTTCTCCGCATAACCCCCGTATGAATATACGCCAGTAACCGACCACTCCTAGAAACTGCCGGACCTCGGTTGGGCTATRTAACGGTGACGGTTAGTTCAGAAGTTTGTCTAACTTCGCCGGATCTGCYCGGCGTCCTCTCGAGTCACAGATAAAGCCCAAGATCTCAATAGTCGAGACGGCCCATCGGCTCTTTGTTCCGCTGACTGTTAAATTCGCATCGTCCAGCTGCTCGAGTACCGCACAAATATCTGTTAGGTGCTGCTCGACGAATCTTCTAACTCCAGGTACAATCTCTGTCTCATCCCTGTCTACTGGCCCTTTTATAAGAAAGTCATCCAGAAAAACTTCAACCTTATCAGGGATGAAGTCCTTAAGGACGGCTACCATGACTCTCTGAAAAACGGCTACCCCATTAGTCCAACCCATAGGGACAACCATCATTTGTATTAGTCCCAATGGCGTATGCATAGCCGTGAGGTGCCTGTCCCTAGGGTCAAGCAGTACCTCATCATAACCTGAGAACAGATCACAGACCGAATAAATCCACCTACTTGCGGCGCCTTCTGCCAGTAAATCGGCGTGTGGCACGGAGCCCACGTCTCGTATCATCACCACGTTGACCTTCTGAAGGTCCTGGATCCATCGGATCTTGCCATTCGGTTTTCGTAGGAAGAACCATTGATTAGCATAAGCGCTATCAGACGGCTCCGCAACGTGGAAAACCATCTTTTCTTTCAGAAAAGCGATAACTTATTCCTTCTCCTTCTGGGCGTATTTCCATCCTGCGTCATTCCAAGGAACATGTGGAATCATGTAAATCCTCGCTGGCTTAGCGTATCAAGGGTCAATCCTACCGCGCTCCGCGTCGCTGAAGGTTATTGCCTTATCACATGTCTTCAGAATTTCTATCACACGTTCTCGCTCCTGTGGGGTCAGATTTCCATCTCCGATGTCCATTCCTGCTATCCTCTCTTCCGTTAGGCGTTGTGGCTCCTTTYTCTTTCTTTCTTTGATTTCTTTCGCGATCTCTTCTTCAGATATCCCTTGCAGTGCAGATCGCTCGCGGCCCACCGCCACTGGCTTAACTTTTTGAGCTACTCGCTTGTGTCGCTTGGGTAGCCCCCCATAGGGGGCCGTGCCCTTAAAAAAGACACGGATACCACACCGCCAAATTCCTCATCTTTTCCCTTCGGGTACGAGTTGCCGTCCACTATTAGTCCACTCCCTAAATCTTCCACCTCCACGATCCGACCTTCTTCCTCTGTGAGCAGTGATCCATATTTCTTCTCGCGAAATCGCACCGCGCGGCCGGAGATAGGTAACGACTTAAGCTGATCACTGGGTCTCGCACCCACAGCGAGAGCTGCTCTGTTCCTCGGGTCCCGAGGCTCCACTGTCTCAATCATTACCCGCGTCCCGTCTGGCTTCCTAATGGACAATGTTTGGCTCCCCCATCATGTCGCTCTATCGTCACCACATGCACGTGGCTCAGCCACGTTCGACCTAAGAGCAGGTCGGAGCTGCAGTTCTTGACTGCAAAGACAAGCAGGGTCACTTGTACCCCTTGGACCTCTATGGCTGCCTTGTGACAAACCCCAGTGATCTGTTGCTTCCTCCCATCAGCCGTCTCTATCTCGAATAGGTATGACCTATCGAGGCCTAGTCCAACCTATACTGCCAGGTCCTCGTCTATGATGACAGTCTCACTGCCGTTATCGATCACAGCATCGAGTATCGCTCCATCATTTATAATCGTCTCCACGGCCCCGCTACCAAGTATATAAAACTTGTCTGGAGGCACACCTTCCATTCCATCGAGAAGGATTGTCGCCATGCGATCTGCTCTGGCAGTCACCCCCRTTACTGCTACTGTAGGAGCTTCCGCCTTAGGGGCCCCCTGACCCTCCTCCGATAGAGGTATGCGAGTCTTCCGCGTGATCAYCTGTAACTCATCACGAGCYGGCTTCGATGCCGCCAGGTACTCCAGAATAGAGCACTGCATGGGTTGCCGAAGGGCCCGCCTCAGTGGCTCGACCGTGTCAATCTCGTCCAGCGAACTCTTCATTAAGAACTTCTTCACTCCCCTCTTTCGCGGCGAAAGGATAACCTCCTCTCCATCGACCCGCTGCCCGTCCTTCTCCGTCATCACGTAATCCGTGTCAGTCTTCTTCGATGTAGACCCTCTCGCCGACTTGGTGGCTGCCACCCTTATGGGTGTAGTCGCCATATCCCCCTCAAAGGTTATCTTGATGCTCTGGCTCCTGACCAGCTCCTTTTCTTTACTCGGCTTTACTCTCCTTGCTTCTATATTCTCCTTCATCGAAGGGAACATTGATACATTTCCCAGACCATCTGCCCACTTGACGTACTTGCGGTCGTCAAGCACGACAAGTCCCTCATCTATTGTCCGTTTGAGGTCCGGGCAATCCCTCTTGATATGATCTTCTCCTCTATAGTAGACACATGAGTTCCTGGGAGTAGATGGCCTGTCGTCTGCGCTTCTCGAGATCGAACTCCTGGCTGCCTTGGGGTCAGGCGACTTGGGATATGGTTCTGATGAGACGCCATATCCCCCTATCTCATTCCGACCGCGCGAATCGTTGCGGCGATCTCCTTCAGACCCTCCTTGCTCCTACCGCCCTCGCGAATCATTCCGGCGGTCCCCTCGGTTGTACCATCCCCGCGACTCATCGCGCTGCTCTTTCGCATCTCCCCCGCGCTCAAACCGTCCGCGCGACCTATCTTGTCGTTCCCAGTCTCAATCTCCTCTTCCATACCTACCACCTCTGTAGCCATCTCGACCCGACCTCTTGTATCTGTCGTCCCTATATCCGTCTCGGTCCGATCGCTCGTATCTGTCGTCCCTATATCCATCTCGGTCCGATCTCTCGTATCTGTCGTCCCTATATCCATCTCGTCGGCCCTAATCTGTCTCCCATCGGCCGTGGGAGTCGCCTCTACCGCGATCGGCCTCATAGCGAGGGCTTCGCGGGTAATCATCCAGCCTCCTTGCTCGCGCAAATGGCTCGCGATCTCTGCGGTCTCGGTCTATCTCATCGTCCCTACGTCGCCATGGCTCATCGTCTCTCTCTCTTCCCCTCGTACGATAATCAGTGAGCGTCCCAGGATTTCTATCCTCAACACTCCTCCAGGGATTGTTGTTCTTACGGTCCCAGCGAAGTGAATAGGGCCCTCCAGGTTTGTCCCGGTAGGCCGTAGCCCCTGTAGTGGTTACAATCTCTGTAACCTGTCTCGTCAATCCCTTCACCATGTCTCGTATCTCCTTCACTTCCTCAGCCACGGCCTCATTCTTCTCCGACCAGGGATAGTCCTTGAAATCAGGACATCTATCCGTGACATACTCCTTGTAGAGAGAGAAGTCACGTCTCCTCATCCCTCTCCACACCAAGTCCTTGTAATCGTCTGCCTCTGCCTTTATCGCGAGCTTCAGGACTTCTGGGAAATCAAGCCTGTCGCGCGGAAGATCTTTAAGTATACTCTTTTGCTTACCTTCGCTCGACCTCTGAGATTTTCCCCTTCTTCATCAGCACGTCGGAGATCTTCTGGAAACGCATCCCAAATGCCCGTACGCTCTCATCTTCATCTTGAGTCATTGTTTCAAGG